CAGATTGCAATAAAACAATAATTAACTTCGGGCATCTGGAAAAAGTTCCATAATCTAATTTGATAGTAAACTTATTTTTTCCTCTAGCAGTAAATGTCTTAAAAAAAATCCTACAAGTTCTATCTTTCTTAATAATCAATAACTGCAAGAAAACATCTGTTTCCCCTACCCTTACAGCAACACACAAAGATGCATTTCCAAACAGAAAACACTTATTTTTTGGTTTATCTCTGAAGAGAAGAAAGGTCAGTAAGAAAAATATTTGTACTTGTACTACTACAAACAAAGTCAACATTAAAAATATGGAAATGTTCATATTCAGGGAGTTAGGACTAACAGACTTTTCACAAACTGAACAGGCAAGCCAAAAACCAAGTCCAAAATCTGGAAATGGTTTACGTGTATCATAATTTTAAGAGGATCAGGAGTCCTGTTAAATTCAGTGAGATAGTTCATGTTTCCAGCTATATATTGTGTGATATCCAGGAAAAGACAGCTGGAGGTCAGCAGAATTTACCTTGAACAGTTTATTCTGTTGGCAAGTTTTATCTTATTTTATATGAACAAGAAAACTCTTAGAACTCTTAAGAGAAATAAATTACTATGCTCCCTTCACCAGTAGTCAGTTTGCACTGCCTGAAATTCTGATTTATTCTTTTTGAGCAAGAAGTGAAAATATAGGAAATGATTCCTTGGAGTTTTGAAGGAGCTTTATGTGAGTTTTGAAACACAAGCAGCAGAACTTGCAAAGAAATAAATCCAGTGACTGCTTCCCTCACTCCGCTGTTGTTATTTAGGATTTAAACATTCCAGAAGAGAATTGTCATCTTTACAAAGCTGTAACTGAATTGGCAAACTGGGACAGGATGAAACTTGACAATCAAAAAGTAAATACCTGCTACCAATCTTTAGGGAATTGCAAAGAAATGCTATTTACCTTGGAATACCTATGAGATATAAATAATTTTAATAGGATTGCAACAGATGCATTTGAAAGAGGGGATGAAAAGAATATTTGATCAAGGATAGTGAAAAAAACCATATTTTTTTAAAAATTGATTGTGCAAGAGGATGGAATTATCTGTGCTACTGAAGTACATTTAAAGGAAATTCAATAAAGACAAATGATCATCGTCCTCTGGTGATGTTTCCAAGGTTTTACACTGGATTCCCCAATCCAACTGCCTTTTTATTATCCCTAAAGAATAAAGATTAATAGACCTACAAAAATGTTATGATGCTTCTGATGAGAACTGCTCCCAGTCAATCCATTGTCTAAAATTCCAAGCACATGCTTGTGTGTTAAATCACATATTCAGATTTAAATGGATATAACTGTTCCTAACTATCTACATGGTGATTGTTCTAACAGGGATTAAGGTAGATGTGTGCCCTGGTGTTAATACACTGAATTATACATTTTAGTATTATTAGACATTAATTATATTATGCGTGCTGACTCTGTTAAATATTCTCAGTGTTTAACGGGTGTAATTTGAAGGGGTACTGCAGCATTTGGATTTATATTTCAGTTTGCCACTGAATGCTAGAAGAAAACAGAATTAATTTGGTTCTGAGGCTAAAACCAGTGTTCATATATTGAATTAGTTAATACATAAATTCCATTATTATTCAAGATTAGTGGAATTTTTAGGGTTATTCTGTTATGGTGTCAGAATGCTGGGGACCTTCTCGCTCTCTTTAACTCCCTGACGGGAGGGTGAAGCCAGGTGGGGATCGGGATCTGCTTCCAAGGAACAAGGGGCAAGATGAGAGGACACAGCCTGAACATGTAACAGGGGAGGAAAATTGGACATTAGAGGAATTTTTTCCAGGAAGAAAGATCAGATATTGCAATGGGCGGGCCACGGGAGCGGCGGAGTCACGGTCCCCGGTGGTGTTAGAGACTGGTCGGGCACTCAGTGCCATAGTATGGCCATGGACTGGACTCGATGATGCCAGAGGTCTTTTCCACCCGGATCCATTCTGGGATCCTGACCTCACCCGTGAGGGAGCGGGAGCACCGC